GTTAGACCGGCGGTTCACACTGACAGAGGTTTTTACTTTTAAACTCCATCTTGTTAATGTTTACAGCAATAAACAATCTGAACATATTAATAGCAATCCATACAAGTGGGAATACGGGAAAATTAAAAAACAATAAAAAAAAACAAAAAAACAATCACATTACCTAACAGTTTAATATTTTATAATTGTTACAGGACTACTATAGGATCTGCAGACAGAATATAAAAGCATAAAGCTACCATGGGCTATGATGTTTGCGTTCTATCCAAATTATTTCATTTAAATATATAGTTTAAATGAAGGGGGGAAATTTTTTATTTATTTTAAATTCTTTATTTTTCAGTTTTGGAAATTTGACATAAACAGTAAGACAAACGTTATAGCTTACCGGCTTGTACAAAAGCCTGTAGTACATGTCGTGCAATTCAACTTAGTTATACATTATGCATGTCAGTACATTATACTTTTACTCAGCTCCTTTCTGCTGTCAACCAAGGTGTATTTTTTAGGAGAGTATACTGAAGATAGCTATAATCGGCTGCCGTTTCTCCCTTCCGCCATTGCACCCTTTTTTTTTTTTTTTACAGCTTCTGTATCTACTGAGCTTGTACCGCCCTGTTGCTTATCTTTTTTTGTCTGGCATACATATGGTCCCATGTGAAGCATGGGGTAAGAAGAGCGAAAGGAAAAGAAAGATGTGAAAGGAAAAGATAGACATTTAGAAAGAGATGGGCATTGGAGCGCGCAGCAGGAAGTAGGGGTGGCCGGTCTTTTAATGCTCGTGACAGTGTTGCATTCCTATTGGTCCTGTCCATGGCGACTGTCTATCTTGTCACCTGGCTCCTCATGGGACTTCTCTCACTTACCTCACTGTCCCAGTGGGCTGCTATCCCAGGGTTCCCATATTTTTTGAAACGCTAGTGTGGTGCCCTTCACCCTAGCTGTTAGGTCATCCATTAATTTGCTATCTTTGATCTTAGAGAATATTTCAGTAGGAAAAATTTTGAAAATCCCCAATTCAGTAAAAAGTACCTTTACATAGTAGATTTCCTGATTGTTGTCAATTTTATTATAGCTTAAGTAGAGTTCCAGTAATGTAGTGGCTTTTTGCAAACCAGCCAGAGAGGTGATGTTATTGTATTCAGCAGAGAGGAAGTGAAGATGACTCAATTTATCAATATCGCCATCAAAGCTTGCCAGCTGATTGTTATTGATGCTAAGATGTCTTAGTTTAGTCAATTTTGACAGTCCTGGAGGAAAAGAAGAAACACACACAAAAAAAAAACAAGATTGGAACAAGCCAAGTAAAAGAGATGTCAATACTTTAATGAAAAGCTTTGGTTTATCTGTGCTTTCTCGCGTGAGGGACAAAACTTGAATTCTAGCTGTATTTTTATTGGGTGGAAACACAATGAAGCTAATTAGAACAGACGTTAAATTTCAAAATGTTCTAATTATCATTTTCTTTGTGCCTTTTCAGTTCCCATTACCTGCTTTCTGTAATAGCTGCTTGTAGCAGTAAAAATGGCTCCCCACCGCTCCGTGGTGCAGAAGGGGTTAAAAAGCCTTCTGCCACTTAGCGGATTCCAAGGCCAATGTCGCTGGTTCCGGCTCTGCTTTCACTCCTCCCCTGCTCACATCAGCCTGCCGGGGAGACCTAATGCACATGCGCGGCAATGCAGGACTCGCATAAGGACTTCCCCCATGTGAAAGCATGTATTATGCTTTCCTATGGGGTTTTGGGTGACGCTGGATGTCATCATGCATAGCAACCATAAAGACACCTAATGACCTGAGAGTCCCTTTAGTTGCTGTCTGGAAAACAGCCACTAGAGGTGAAGGTAACTCTCAAAGGTAATTATTGCAGTTTATCAAAAACTGTAATAATTACCTTTGCAGGGTTAAGGGACCTGGAACATTGCACCCAGACTACTTCATTGAGCTGGTCTGAGTGCCTATGGTGTCTCTTTGTATACAGACATTACTGTCCATAAGAAGCGTTTATAAATAGCGCTGGGAAAATTGCCAGCAAATGTGTAGACATATATTTACCTGCAGATTGCACCTACCTCCCCAGGATAAATGTCATTTTGAATATGAGTTGATGTACTTGCATGGCATCTATGGAAAGAAGATGCTTGTACACCATCCCACAATGCCATCTTTGATATTTTGTTTGTCCATGATGTGATTTCAGGTTCTGAGCACAAACATTTTACAGTGTTTTATTGAAAACATTTCAATTAACGGCTGTGATGCTCCTCTCCTCAGGTCACACGGCCTGTATGCTCCATGGGGCTGCGGGGCCTGAACAGGGAATACTTACCATTCGGCCAAGCGTACAGCTCCATCTGCTGGTTCACGTGTGCCGAAATCCTCTTCCCTGCATAATATTAGACGCTGCACGTTTGAATGGTGCAGCTTTTATAAAATTCAAATGTGGTGACATCAAACCCACCCTTATAGTGACAACTTCATCCAGGCGACCTCATTAGCAATCATTTTGGAGTCGCAGAGATGACGTGGACCAATTACAAATGTTGTTAGCCTATATAACTCTAATTTGGACCCTTCTTCTTTGACCTATCGTGGTTTCTGTCCTGATGCACGTTACTGCTTACACTTACAGTATGCCTCTCTTGTTATCTTTTAAAGTTGACCTCAGCTTATATTTGACTTTGCGTATTTATGGTACCCTGACCCGGCTTGTTTCTGTTATCCTGACCCGGCTTGTTAGTCTGTATCCGCATTTTTATATTGCCGACCTTGGTTTTCCTGATTCTGTCTTTATCTTGATTAACATTAAGTCAGCCACCCCAATGCCCAGTAATACATTTATCTAGAACCTTTGTTTGTGGGATTTGCCATTCCTGTAAGTTGGGGTACAACCCCCATGACAAACTATATATTGGTGAACCGTCCAACTATCATAATATTGTGATAAAATAGGATGTACTTTAACATGGGACTGTACCATATTAATGTTCTTCTAGTGATAAATACAAATATAAAACAGTTATATGCCAGACAACTATAGATACAGAGGTTTTATGTATAAGCACCTTCCAGATTCACAATGCAGTTTCCATCCAGAGAGAGTTCTTCTAACTTGACACAGCATTCAAGTCCTTCTATTTTTGTCAGAAAATTGTTGCTGAAAGATGCCCATCGCAAATTTTCCAACTTTTCTAAATTTGTTATTCTGAAGATATTCTGGCCATCAAAATTCACTGATGTAATCTAAAAGATATATTTCTGATTAAAATATACAAACATACATAATGCCGTTAATTTACTGAATTTGGGAAATGCCAAAAATAGCCAACCAGTATTACTTGGGGTTTTTTATGACCTCACATATGGACACAATCAATACAAATGTCTAGACATTTTGTGGTTTTTATCCTAAATAATTAGCTGTATTTTATGCACCTCTGGAAACGTACAGTATTTAGCAGGAACACAGCACTACTGATTTTTGGCCATAACGGTAAGCAGAAACACAACATTTATGCTACTTTAATAGTTCATTTCCTTTTAGATGCTGAGAGTTCACAATCCGTCCCCATCAGAAGAAGAATACTCTAAAGGAACACTCCACATACATAAAGCACTTCAGCTTGCTTAATGTGTCTGGAGTTTGTATTTTTCTCGACAGCATATTACATTTTTTATAACAGGGGGCAGAAACACCCTCATGGCTGTCATTCAGAAAGGTTTTCTTCCCTCAGCTCCACAGAGCCAATGGAAGCGGCAGGCATGCTGTATTAATACGTGCCTGCCTTCCCTTCTTCTCAATGAGCATAGGAAAACTGTGATTGTGTGCGCGCGCGCATGCTGGCAGCTCTCAGCGAGAAGCTTTGAATTAGTGTGTAGGGCTTGCAAAGGCTGCACACAGCAGGTTTTCCCATATAACCCCAATGAACACATATAGAAATAATACTAAAATTGCTAAATCTACAAAATTGTAAAACAAATTCAATGGAATTCTGTAAATTGAAAAAGTTTGCACATCCTTCCCCCATCTCCACTTCCTACAGACTCCAAATTGTAAAACTGAGGAGGAAATTATGCAACGGGCATTACCTAAAGTATTCACCTATAAATGACCCCGTCCCCCACCTTATAGGTTTAACATTATGCCCTGAAGTAGTACAGATCATACCTCTATAATTTTGTGAAAATAATGTCTATTGCAAGCCACTGACAGTTACATTAAAAGGATTATCTTTCCCCAAGAATGTATTGCTTCTCAACATTTTTTTTCTTTTTCAATTTATTGCTTGGGTTGCTTTGGCAACTGTTATAAATGTGCATCTCATAATATCTAGAGAGCTGAACACTATGGTTATCAGATAAGATACATTTTTCTCCCAGCAATTCTGGAATCAACATTTGAAATTGAACTGACAGAGATGCTCTTAACCTTTCATTGTTGGAAGAATTGCATGACTTCACTTGATTGGTCACATCAGAATTCAGAAAAGCTATACTATAAATTTGAGTTTCTGGGCCTCTATCCTAGTCACACATGTTTCCCTTTGCTCAGAATCACTCTTTAAAAAAAAAAAAATCGTAAAGGATTTTGCTGCACTGTCCTACTGATTAAATGTGTTCGGTAGCCTCCTATTTCTATCTCTATGACTCCCTTTTAGAGACTAAGAAAAAAACAAAAAACTAATTTCTGATCTTTTCCTTCGTACAAATATGGAAATGTGAAATAGAGAATGTAGCGCTTTAACAATGTAAATATTAATATCACCTTGTATGATGTAGGAGAAGGGAATATTCGTTTATGTCCCAGGTTACATAAAATCTACAAGAAATAATCACAGCATAGTGTAGACTGTAGATAATTTAAACATATATATATGTAAAAGAAAAAATGCACACTCACAGACCCAGAGCTGTAGACTCAGCTCTAACAATGTCCCAATAAAAACCGGAACGCGTTTCCCCACTTCAGCGTGGCTTTCTCAACCGGATAAATCAGCTTTACAAGTCCTGGTTCGTCGTCTGTGTATGTATACTGCTCTTAATTCAAAAACACACACAGTTTTTCAATTATATCAATTAAGAGCAGTATACATACACAGACGACGAACCAGGACTTGTAAAGCTGATTTATCCGGTTGAGAAAGCCACGCTGAAGTGGGGAAACGCGTTCCGGTTTTTATTGGGACATTGTTAGAGCTGAGTCTACAGCTCTGGGTCTGTGAGTGTGCATTTTTTCTTTTACATATATATATGTTTAAATTATCTACAGTCTACACTATGCTGTGATTATTTCTTGTAGATTTTATGTAACCTGGGACATAAACGAATATTCCCTTCTTCTACATCATACAAGGTGATATTAATATTTACATTGTTAAAGCGCTACATTCTCTATTTCAATTTTCTTTCACTTTTGGTGATATTGCAAGGAGTCACACGAATGTTTAGCAGCTCATTTTTATATTAGGTATATGTCTAAGTAGATTGCTTATTGTAAAATTCATCGACATAATAGTTTGAGGTTTATAAATATATTGTTTTATAATAAGCGCTAGTCTCTGTTCACATTAAATATGGAAATGTGACATTATCAGTAAGAATCACGCGTGTTAACTGCAAGCAATAATGGAATTGGTAAAAATAAAAAATTATACATTCTAAAACTAAATATACGGCAAGTACGCTCATCAATACTCGTTACCTCCCTAGCGGACTTCTTTGATTTTGATTGGTATTGGCATATTATATTGACTGCCATAAGTTCGATTTTGATGTATACTATACAGATAGATAATTTTATTTTTTTCAAGTGTGTTCTCCAAGTTAATTTATTTTTCTTTTTAATTTGTGCTTGTTTAGGTTTGTTTTAAGGATTTCTTACCATGCTATAGCAGTTGGCATTGACTTCACCTGGTAAAATGCAGTTTTGGCTGATTCGAGAGAGGATTTGAGCAGAAGACATTATACTAAGGCAACGAGGTCTTAAATCATCGGTTCTACAGTTTGTCATCAGTGACATCTGCAAAAATAAACATAAGAATGTCAATTTTACTTATTAGCAGGAGAGAAGAGTAGGTAAAGTAGATTATTTTATCTTTCAGACACAGCTATGATAATTAGCCAAAGGTCCAAGCATAAACTTTACACTTCAAGCTTGCGGATTTCGGAGTAATTATTGCCTTCTCCTTCACCACTAATGCCCAGCCGATCGAAGAAATGACTAACAAAAGATGCACCTAAAACTCTTCTTCACACGACCATTAGGGTCTGTTCGCCAAACAGGGTAATTGTGAAGAACAGATATGGCATTTGCAAATAGTTGTCCAAAATAGCTTAATTGGCCAAAATCTGCAGCTAAGCTATTGATTGAAATCAGTTATTTTGGCTTAAATAACGATTCAATTCCATTCTCCATTCTCTAAAATTCTAAATTTAGTGAATAAAACAACTTGCAAACCTTCATAAATCACTTGGGCTCTAAAATAAATAAATAAAATAAAGATGGGGTTTTAAGGTAATTTAATAACAAACACTCATAAATGGTTGTATTGCAGATTTCACTTTACTTTTAAAATAAAGCCATGTTCCACAAGCTGGCAAGTCAAGGTACACAGGCCAGTTTCCCTCATTCTGTGATTACTGGGGTATATGCTGCTATGTACAATAACCTCTGCTATGTCTAACATTCATCTCATTTGCTAATATATCTTGTGGTATACGTTTTCCATCATACTATGGGATTAATCATTTTATTTTTTTTAAAGTGTATTTACGGTTGACCAACCAGATATGTGTGACAAATTCTGAGACCACAGTCTCAAGAGAGCATTGGAACCCTAAATTGGTACATTACATTGCTGGCAAAGGGTTGATGATTCTAAACGACAATATATTCCTTCTGGTTTCCACTTTGTGTACAGAGAAATATACTCCAAAAAACATGCACACTTGTCTAACCTATGCTATCCTTATGGAATATGGAGCTACTGTTGTCTCAGTGACCACAATTTAAGAATACAATTTTACAGCATCAATGAGAAAAATTCTAAAACTGATATTTTTTCTAACCAGAGAGATCCTTGTTCCAGAGAAAAACAGCTCAGCTTCAGTAATGTCATCTTCAGTAATCAGGAGTCCATTCAAATGAGTCAGTGACTTTAATTGCCCAATCGCAATCTTGTTCACTAAAGATGGCTTAAAAAGAACACAAGTCAAAATGTAAATAACTAGAACTATTACACCTTAAAACTTAAATCATCACTAATTCTACCCACAAAAAAGTACCTTTTATATAAGTTTTATGAGGTTCTACATAAGGCAAATAATGAGAATGTTTACGAGAAAATATTACAGAAAGTCTTCCCTCTCAGAGGTTTCCCCAAAACTAGGTCATGCATTCAAAGCTGCATTCAAAACCCATGAAAGGGGCTGCTGCAATTGTTCATCTTCGTCAGCCCATAACATCCTTATTGCACTATAAACAGGTTTTCTTTTCTTGTTTTCCATCTTGGTTGCAGGATAATGAAGATGGTGAGAAATGCTTTTGATAATCACAACGGTGAAAAGGCTAAAACCCGCTTGTTACACAATCCATTAGATTTCAAAATAAACAAAAATATATATGGCAAACAAGGCGTGCGGTGAAGCCAAGTAATTGTCATTTTGTTCAATCAGAGATTATGTTCTTATCAGATGGTGCAGGCAACAAGGAGATAACGATCACAGTGGTTAGAAATCTTCTTTTCAAAAGGACTGGAACATTAATGTGACAAATTACCAGCGCCAGTCATTGCTTTTTCCTATACCTTACTGCGTTTTGAAAACATCACAACGTCAAATGTTTTTATTTTACGTCAAATGTAATCAGGCATTGTTTTGGTCGTATTATGAACAAAAGTTGATAGCAGAAATAATATTAGGGCATTAATAATACATACTTATTACTGCACGTGCACAGTTTACAGATGACAAGAATATTACATTTGACAGCATCTATAGAAAATATAGCCAAGCATAACATTACGAAGCAATTTCTCTTTCTGAAGTGTAATGAAATGAAATGTTCTCTAAAAATGTAGCTTTGATATATTCACAATATATGTATTGATGTAAATTTAGTAACCCTTGCAAGTAATTCTCTTTTGAACTTAGAAAAAAATGACTTAAGGTGTGGGCACATCTAGAACATGGCTGATATCAATTCTAGATGCCAAAAATATTTCTTAAATCTGCTTCAAGAGGAGATCTGAGAAATGTATGCCAAAATATGGTCACCTGTGAGTTGGTTTGGAGTGCTCATCCAAAGGAGTCTTATGGACACTATACACACAGAAAACAAAAATAAAATAATTAGGGGAGTGGGTAATCAAAAAATCAATTTCTTAACAGTGGTGCATTTCAGATGGTCAGGGCTGGCGCAACCATAGGGTGGCACAGGTACCAGGAGGTGCAATTTTCGTGGTGATCATCAGGAAGGAAGCACACAGCATTCTCCCCACTGTCAGTCACTTCATGTAGCATGCACACGCTTGAGAATCTTACGTATCCTCTACCTGATGAGACTACAAAGGGGCTGGGGGAAGAGACACATAGAGGGGCTGGGGAAGGTAGAAAAGAGACACACAAAGGGACTGGGGGTAGTAGGAGGCACATACAGAGGTTGTGGGAGAAATAGAGACACAAAGGGCCTGGTGGAAAGTGAGAGACACACAAAGGGACATGGGGGAAAGTAAGACACACAAGGGACATTGTAAGAGACACACAAGGGGGAAAATTAAGGATAAGATACACTAAAGGATGTATATAGCTAAATAGAGTATCCAAAAGTAGCCTCCATCTACCTACAGTCTTACGTTAGACTGTAGGTAGATAGAGGCTACTTTTGGATACTCTATTTAGCTATATATGAGGGTCACTCTGCGAAGTGGTGGGAGATGTCATTATGACCCACACATGTAGCAGTTATTAGACTGCGATACTCCATTTAATAGGAGTTCCTGAGTTCATTAGTCTACTTTGTACTCTGAGGGACATTCCACTATGTCTCTACACCCTCTCTGTCAGTAGCTACGAGCTACTGTGTATCTATTTGTATCAATCATCAATGCTTCTCCTACTGTCACTTAGTTGCACTTCAGACTAGGCTTTCAGTAATTTATAGTCTGATCTCTAGCTACTTTCTATAGGGGTTTGTGTTTATCAATAACTATTCTCCCTACTCCTGCCTCACTGCTTATTCCAGTCTGGATAAGGGTATGCTTTATTGCTATTATAGCCAGTCTATTACTACCATTAGGTGATCCTAGTGGTTTTCATACCCTATTTTGCATTTGCTCCCTCCTTTTTTCCATTTTATCTTAGTTTTCAATTAAAGGTTAAGTTTTAGCATTCATTTTGGGCAGGGGCTTCCTATTTGGTTGACCTTGTGGGTCAAGGCAGGGAGGGTGTGTGTGGTTTTTTCTCCCCCTCCTCTTCCTTTGTCCCAAGGTCTCCCTTTACTTTTCTATTTACACATATGTGAGGGTTATCCCCTAAATCAGGTTGCCCCGGACACATACTCGGCTGTTTCACCTTTTAGGTTAACAGCTGTTTTGTACTATTTACGTTTAGAAGATATGGTACCAATAGATACACTTTAAACATGCCTTCGTGGAAGCCTCTCACTGGAAATCATGAATACCTGTAGGGGCAGAGCCTGCACCTTTGGGGGAATGGGCTGATCGCTAAAAAAATATCCTCTCTCAAAAGTCCAGACTAGGGACGTGCAGAACTGCTAGCAAAGCTACGTATGACTCTTTGCCCTATCACCCCTTTCTTCGTTAATTAAAGACATTTGCCAAGTTCATAAAGGTTTATTCAATTCTTAGGACCTTTTTTCACTACACTGACCTTGAGCCATGGGTTACATTGTATATTCAAGGACTGAAGCTGCGTTGCTTGCTTACACAAAGTACTTATTTCTTCTTTGGTCTTTGTTAACTGGTTCCAACTCAAGTCTAAGTATTTCAGCTTTTCCAAAGCTCTTAATCCTTCCAGTGTGAGCACTCGATTATGGCTGGCATCCAAATATTCCAAGGAAGGCTGTAATTAAAACAACAGAAACGGTTTA